AAGTAAATGGTTATTCAACTTACAAGTTCCAGATGAGTAAAGACTGTCGTCCTGACTGGTACTGATTTTCTGTTTGATGATCACCCAAGTGCTGATGCACTAAAAATCCGAAAGATTAATATTATACGTTTGGGCAGTTGTTCTGTGGCTGGGAAGATATTTCTCTGTTACAGATAGAAACAATTGATCCATAGCGGCTACCCCTCCAGAGAAAAAACAAACCTAGTGGATAAAAATTTTTTGTTGCAACATTTACGGAGTTCAATCCAACCGTTATTATATTTATTTGAAGTCCTAGGTCCCTTACAACGCTAAAAAAAAGTCAAAGTCTTCTAACTACACTTACTAAAGAGGAAATCCTGGATAATCACAGGTCTGTTTTATGTTCCTTTGGAATTTCTACCAAAGATGAAGAACTGGATCTTCCATCACTGTATTGGATACCTAAACGACACAAGTGTCCTTACAAACAACGGTATATTGCTGAGTCTTCCAAGTGCTCCACGAAACCTCTTTCTAAATTATTAACATCAATTTGACCAGCAATCAATGCCGGGCTTCAAAGTTATTGTGAAACTGCCTATTCCAGAGGTGGCGTGAATCAGATGTGGATACTAAAAAATTCCAAAGATCTTTTAGAGTACATACAATCTAAGACTCTTTCATCTTGCAATAGTATTAAAACATTTGACTTTTCTACACTTTACACAAGTATTCCCCATTTCAAACTAAAAGACAAATTGAAAGCGTTGGTATTGCTATGTTTCATAAAAAAGAATGGCAAACGTAGATACAAGTATCTTGTCTTAGGGAGAGATAAATCCTACTTTGTAAAAAATCCCTCTGAATCAAACAAAAAATTCTCTGAAACTGACATTGTCAAGATGCTTGATTTCTTGATTGACGACATATTTGTTACGTTTGGAGGACGTGTTTTTCAACAAACTATCGGCATTCCCATGGGAACCAACTGTGCCCCTTTTCTTGCCAACTTGTTCCTTTATTCTTATGAGGCTGACTTTATACAGGAACTTCTTAGGAAGAAAGAAAAGAAGTTAGCAGTATCCTTTAACTTTTCTTTCCGCTATATAGATGATGTTCTCTCACTAAATAATTCAAAATTTGGTGACTATGTTGAACGCATCTATCCCATCGAACTAGAGATAAAGGATACAACAGATACAGTTAAGTCTGCCTCATATGTTAACTTACATCTAGAAATTGACAATGAGAGTCGGTTGAAAACAAAACTTTACGACAAAAGAGATGATTTCAGCTTCCCAAATTGGAACTTTCCATTTATATGTAGCAACATTCCAGCAGCACCTGCATACGGAGTATATGTCTCCCAACTGATACGATATTCCCGAGCTTGTATTTCCTATCATGATTTCGTTGATAGAAGTTTGCTGCTTACAAGGAAGCTATGAAACCAAGAGTTTCAAATGGTGAAGTTGAAATCATCCCTTCGTAAATTTTACGGACGCCATCACGAGTTGGTTGACCGTTTTGGAATATCCGTTTCACCGATGGTAGCGGATATGTTCCTAATGTCGTACAATGTAACTACAATCTCGTTCCCTTTTCACGAATGTGACCTACCGAATTAGACTATTTACCGGGTTTGTACTAACATTAGCAATACGACGGGTGCCACATGTGGAGCAAGATCTGCTTACCCTTCCGGAGCACCTGAGATCACCACCAGTTTTTGGTGGGGTTCGTGTTGCTTAGTCTTTAGTTTTCTATGTTGTGTTTTGTGTACTATTGTTTGTCTGTTTGTCTTTTTCTTTTTTAGCCATGACGTTGTCAGTTTATTTTCGATTTATGAGTTTGAATGTCCCTCTGGTATCTTTCGCCCCTCTTCTACCATAAAAAGGCCAAATCAAAATGACGGTATAATACGGTCAACTTCACATGATTGGAAAACATTCTTAGCAAGTATGAGACCTTTCTCTCAAAAGGTCCCTAAGGAGTAATGTTCAAAAGGTGATGTTAAGGACTTTGACCTTTTAACTTTGATTAAAACGGTCAAATCGTAATGGCTATTTGGTCAACTACACATAATTGAAAATAATCCTACTAAGTATAGTTGCGTTCACTAGTTGTCATTGTTACAATACTAAAAATAAAAGGTCAAATTCCCATTACTCCCGTAAAAAGGGTAATATAAAACTGACATTAAAGCACAGTCAAGATAATATACCGCAGCAGGTATAGTCAAATACAGAACAAATTTTCAAAAAAGTGAAAAACTTTGCAAATCATGAAAACTTAGTAAAAAGCAAATAAACAATCCATGGTACACTGTAGGTTGCATTTCTGTAAATATTGACAAAGAATTTTCCCATAGGAACTCCTTTTACGGCTAAAACTGTACCACTTTTACTATGAAGTTTTGAAAAAAATCATATCCTAGAATGGAAAGTTCATATGCACTACTATTTTTTTAAAATGTCAAAATATAGGGCTGTGCGGCATATTTTCAACATTTATATGCCCGAACTTCTAAGAGTTTAAACTAACACTAAATTTCTTAACTACCCCTACCTTAACAGTAGGATTACCACAGATTTCAATATAAACAATATGCTTATGTATATTTACTGGTAACATTCCCAAGTTATGTCTCTACGGTGACTTTTCTCATCATTTGTTTACTCCTATATCTATAAAGTGCTTTGAACATCTTCAAGGTATGTATAGCATCATAAATATGAGTAACTGTAACAAAAACATTCATAAGAATATAAAATATACGTGTGCATCACACCAACTTGATAGAAAAAAGTGAAATCGATGGACAATTTTGCTCTAGTAGTACAAAGCAAATAATCTTTTAATGCAAATATTTGCATCAGTTTACAGTTAAATATATACTGTTTCAATATTCTTTTCGTATTTAAGAAGAATATTCGTATTTCCCATAAAAAAATATGTTTTCCTTGAGGATCCCAAAATAAATTACTGTACGATCAGTCTAGAACTGACTGTATTCTAGAAGCGATTTCAGATTTTTTGACTGTATGACCAGTCGTGATTTTGAAAAAGAAACAACGGCAATTTGAAGGTATATACGTGTCTATATGATATTATGAACTGTCCAGGGAACTATAACGTGTAATTTCTTTCATCAGACAATACAAATATATTTCTGATGATTTTTGTAGACAGCATTTGTATGGGAACATATATTTGGAATCCCTTTTCTCCTGGATTGGACCCCCTCTCCATTTAAAAATTGCTGGAACCCACAATGTATATTAAGTGGTTTATGAGGAGATGCACTTACAAAACCGACGAAACATATTGTACCGGTCCAACGGAAAGACGGACTTCATTATCACTATAAACCCCCGCTTTACAAAGTGGTGTACAATTGAGTGTCAAAGAGACAGCTCTACATCCAAAACAAAGTGAAGGAACTGTGATCAATTATAGGCTACAGTACGGCCTCGAATGTGTGTAAATACATGCATTTTTATATAACAATTAAATCTGTGTGTTTGTACAATTTTAAGTATAACGGAGGCCATTTCTGAAACTTATATATACAACAAACCGTCCTCTTATTTTAGCAACATTTAAACATCCTTATACTTAATGTAGTAAGTCGAGTACACCCCATCAAGCTAAAACATGTTTCATAAGTTTTCAGAATGTGAATTTATTGAAATATATTTGTGTTATTTAGAAAAAATGCGACCTTCTAATGTATCGTAAATAACTTTGAAATCACCACTAGAATACAGTGAAATAAAGACTGATCATACAGTTTCAAAATATACAAGCGAGACTGATCGTACAGTGAGAAATTCAAACAAGTGTAATTTTCTTATTTCTGGCTTCAAAGATCTGGTTGAAACTTTTACCACCACTTGAAATATACTTCATTTAGTTAATTACGTCTGGTTTTTACGTTAATTTGTACACTAAGAGGGTAAAAAGATTGTGTTTAGGTTCACCGACTGATTTTCCTTAGTGATGCACTTGAAAATCTCTTGATTAAGGCAAAGATTCGAATAATGAATGTGCTGAATTTAATTCTAAACCATTTGAGAATATCGATGTCAGCTGAATTAATCATTAAGCAATGTACAGATGATCAACTTACCGTTTAATTCAGTATATCCATCAAATTTAAAATGTGATCCAAAAAGTTCTCGCTTCGAAAATCGCGACTTCCGGATAGCGTACAGAATAGTATCTACACTGTGGAATCTGTTTAAAACTGTTCTGATAACAAATTGAAAGCTTTGCAGAATACTGTAAATGTAATGTTTAGCAGTCAATTATTCCAACATTCAAGATTATATAAAGTACCCAATCCTGCCTCTGTCTCCAGTCCACATCTTACTGTATGCCTATTTGTCAATGAAAGTTCACAATTTCTTCCTCAAATGGCCAGTTAAAAATTCTTGTCACAACAGTATCATCTCTAACCATATATCTGACATAATTTAGCTAATATATGAACTAGAAGTGTTAAAACAAAGCCATATTTGCAAGAGTTGTGTGTATGCAGATACAAGTCTGATGTATAAATTCACTTAAAATTTATAGAAATGACTGCTAACATCTGATTTTTGCATAACTTCCAAGCACAGTTATTGTTTTCTATATAAAGACCTTTAAAATCATAAAATCATAGCATTTACAAGTTAAATTATTTGTTTTATGACCCAGGGGTAGGCAATTTTCTCTGTTTTTTCCCCTGGGGCCTCAAATTTCCTCAATTATTTTGTGGTTTCTAGCAATATGAAATATTTAGTACATATTCAGGATAGAACACACTATTGTATATTTGTTGAGATATTTATGTATTTCTAGCTTGTATTTTTTATGCCGTGGTGACAAAAAAGCAGATATAGGTGTCACGGCTTACTTTTGGGTTATCGACAGGATAAAAACACCCCACCAATAATATTCAGGAAGGATCTATGAGTTTCAATGGCTGCGAAGAGTAAAAATAAGCACTTCTCAACATTTTAACTAACAAATATGCATATATTATGATTTTATTTTGCATTCAGGGCTTTATGTAAACTATGCATACTGTAAACTGTGAATTTATGCTGAGTCATCATAGCGAAGGTCCAGGATTTTCTCAATCTTCATGAAATATTTATAAAACTTCATATTTGAGTCAATTTCATTAAAATCTGTGAGATAAACCAAATTTGGATAAATTCTGTATGTTCTCTTTTTTCACCCAATATAGGTTGCATTTCTGTAAATATTGACAATGCATTTTCCCATAGGAACTCCTTTTACGGCTAAAACTGTACCACTTTTACTATGAAGTTTTGAAAAAAATCATATCCTAGAATGGAAAGTTCATATGCACTACTATTTTTTTCAAAGGTCAAAATATAGGGCTGTGTGGCATATTTTAAACATTTATATGCCCCGAACTTCTAAGAGTTTAAACTAACACTAAATTTCTTAACTATCCCTACCTTAACAGCAGGATTTCCACAGATTTCAATATAAACAATATGTATAAGTATATTTACTGGTAACATTCCCAAGTTATGTCTCTATGAGATGAAACATAGAGATCATAACTGGGATCCAGTTTGTAAACAAAATTAATTATCTATGAATATTCTATATCTCCCCAAAAGAGGCGTGGTTTGAGAAACAGCTGTATTTATAAAGTACAACCTGTAATTAGCAAAACCGTAAATATCAATGGTAATTCCATATTTAATGGAACCAGCTTGAATTACCTAGCTAGTTAGAAATAATTCATATTATCATAATATAAGGCCCGATTTGTTGTGCATGTTTAATAAATGTAGTATCTGTACATATTTGTAAAGACTGTTACTGTTAAAAAGGTAGTTGAAGCTTAAAAATTAGAATTCACAGTAATATAATACAATAAAGCTTCCAAGATATATTGAAGTTGATAGTGTTCATACAAATCAAATTAAGTCCTTTTTTGGTAAAATATTCAAATATTTGATCTATTATATTACCAAGACATACACAGAAAGACAATGCTTACAAATATAAAAAATGCAATGCTAACAAACATTAATTAAAGACATTATAAAATATATACTCAGGAAAATCAACAAACATACATGTATTATAAGTATTCATTTGCCTGAATTCAATTTGATACATGAACAGTTATACAATTAAACAGCTACAATATAATGATACAACAGTTATATGGAGATTTCTGGCGGCATGAAATCAACATGAATCTTTTCTTGCATTACTATATAAACGAGACCAACATTTGAATAAAATTTATAAATGATTTTGGAGATTATCAAAAAGTTACGTAAAGCTTGCATACATCAGCCTTAAAAATCATTCACTGAAATAATTTACAACATTAGAATTGAAAATTAATGATTACAGATGTTTTAAAGTAATCCTTCGGGTATTTCGTGCAAGTTTTCTGTGAATGATTGAATATGAAGAATAAATCATTTATACATTTTATCATTTACAAGTTTCAAAACGTACAACATGAATATAATTTACAAAGAAATACATCTAATAATGATTTATAAATACATATTTTTTTAACTAAGGGGCATGGCTGAAATTGTTATGAGAGACGGCATGAAAACAATATATGATAGACATAAGATATCTGATGAGAATAAAAATAATAAAGTGGTTTCGAAAATCATGATGACAACAATATATTTATTTCTTGATTCGTGTTTTGGGTTAAACTGAGCAAGACAAGTAAGGTTGTGGATATGGTTTTAAATCAAAGCCAAGCTCCCATTAAATGGTGTATACAATGAACACAATTTAGAAAAAAAAAATCCTATACATGTCACACAATTTACCCTACTGTCATTCTCACGTTTTACCAATGCCTGTACCAAGTCAGGAAATTTTTTTTCATTTGTTTGATGTGTTTGAGCCTTTGGTTTTGCCATTTGATAAGGGACTTTCCATTTGTAATTTTCCTTAGAGTTCGGAGTTTTTGTTATTTTACTTTCTATTAAAAGTTAATCATTTCCTAGTACATGTAGTATATCAGTTATAATACTATATATACTAATTTTATACAAATCACTTACATCATTCAAATTTTATTATTAACAACATCAAATTTATAAAAGAGTGAGAAAGGTATATAATTTACTTTAAACAACTGAGTTTTAATAAAAAATGAATAAAACGCAATGGAATACAATGAAATACAATTCGGGCATCTTTATCAAAAATTTTAAAAAGCATTTAAAAGTTCAATTCTTTTAAAATAAAAATATAGCAAAATTTACTCTACTCTAATTTGTGTACATTTGTATAAAAAAGATGAGCGCGAATGATAATACCCGAATAAAAAATGTCATCACTAAAAATACTGATCAAATCAAATCAAATGTTCATTATTTTATAGTCAAATCAAAAGAGCCTTTTTCACTTCTACAACACTGAAAGAATATGGCTAGCAAGTAAAACATTGCTGAAACTAGAGAAACAACTAGCCACCACACCATAACACCTAACGCCATTGAATCGTGACTGTACAATAAACAATTTCCTTGATTACCACATGATCCTTCTAGAAATATTAAGCATGCGTTGTCAATAGCCCAACCAACTAGAAAAGGTCCGGGTATTGTCCCTGAAATGATATGTTGATGTAAATTAGAATTGTTACATAAACATAATAATGTGGATATTAATAATAATAATAATTAATATGTATACAATCCAATACAATGTTACTTAAAATACTACGATAAATTCTCTTAACTAAAGATGATGAAATATAAATTATTAAATATATGCAGGAGCATGGTTGTTACACAGGCTGCAACTGCTCAAGAGTACTAAAATAAATTTTATTTGATGAAATCTGTTCATTTTTGTTACTGTTTTGTCAAGGATTCTGACTGCTCTTATAACAAAAGTTTCAATTTGTATCAAATAACAGTGCATCGAATCCCATGACTCTTTTAGTGGTCCGAAGGTCTCTTTTAATTGAGTCAAAATTCCCGCCACTTTCCAAGATTCTTTTTTTTTGTAAAGTGGCAGTTTAAATTTCTTACCCTCTATTGCAGTAATTCGACTTTGAAGAAACTATCTGTTGTATAATCTGTTGTCGTTCTCAATATGCATACATTGTCATCCATTCACACGCGTTCATTTTATCAACATTGTTTTTTCCTCTTTTTGATGGGTGTAAAATAATATTATTCTAATAACAAAACGAAAGTAATGCATTTGTTATACAATAAAACCTTTGCATGTCTTACCTAACAGACGAATAAAAACCCACTGTACTCCCAAAGCAAATGGTCGTTGTTCATCTTTGACAACTCTAAAAAATAATAATTTGAAACTGTAACATGCACAAATATTGCAATACTTTCGACTGAAATGACGGAAACAACACTGGTTTTGTAATTAAGAGTTTCGTTTTGATTTCATCTAAGTAAATATATGCAGTAGAACGATTCACTGACGTTTTAGGCGATTTACCAAAATTTTGATTAGGGTGTCTCCCTTTTATTAATATATAGAGGAAGAATATTGAAATAAATATGAACTCAAATTCAGGAGGAAAATAAATAAATAAAAGTAATCGGCATCAAAGAACTTCGAACGTAGTGAGACTTGTGCATTGACCGAATACGATTTCCCTGATATGAATATATAAAGATATCGCTTATATTAGATCTAGGAAAATTTTATAACAATTCAGATATCTTGAAAATGAATTAATTAAACCCTTAAATGAAAATGGCACTCTCGTTATGTGATTGAACCATCTTTGAAAATGAAAATAGTAAAAAGAAAAGGATCAATCAGGGTAAATTATGTAAAGGTATTTTCTTTTTCTTTTGTCTAATTTGCATACACCGGCTAAATACCTTATAGCTATGAAAGGGGGGATTTCATGAAAGGATATAAAATCGTTTTTTAGTTCTTGATTAGGTAAAATGGGCATTTTGTACCTGTGACAGGTCGGAATATTTAGACTATATTTATCTTTACTGTTTGTCAGTATCTTTGAATTTGACAAGTTAGTTTTTAAGGGGTGTGAAACAGTGGTCTGTTATTGTGTCCGAAATGCTTGAATATTGCTGTCATGTTTATACGTCTTCCCGCTGAAATGTTAAAATTGGTACCATTAAGGTTATTGATAGCTAATAATTACCGCATGACAGCCATGGAATTTGGAGTAACACTGGTAAGTACACATATCATTGATATAAACATTAATGGTGCTACTATATATAACTTGTCACATCCATCTTCACATCGTCCGGCGCTAACCATAGCATTAGCGTGGTCTGTTGGAATATTTAAACTAGCTGCTACACAACTGCAGTTATGATATGTCATCTGTCGAAGAGTCACATAAAATATAATCAAAATAAAATAAATATCAATTGATGAAAAACATTGTGATACAATATACCCTTTCTCTCAAATGATGGATTAAGAACAGTTTTACTAGCTCTTCAACTTCTTAATTGATTGGACTTCCAACTACTTTGATTCGAAATTACTTATTTTGCATCAGTAAACGTCGCAGATTATATCCTTTTATTTTATTTGACGTCATGATTATCCGTAAGCGTTGAGATATGAGGCACTTGTACAAATTTCAATTGTATGAGAAATGTGTTGATAACTGTAAAATGGAGATGCAAATACGTAGTTATAGAAAAAAAAATTAAACAACAATCATTAACATAATATCTACTAGATTTATAAATACTCCTAACATGATAATTTTAAAATGTATTATCTCAATAACATTCAGTGACCTAAATTATAAACATTAATTGATGGTTGCTTAACGTCCAGTAGCAAATATTACATGCATGTTCAGGACGAGAACAAATTAACGATAAATACAATATGTAGGTCATATAATAGAGGCCATCCGGGATAAAGGTCGGGTAAATTCAGACTGCAACTTGAAAATGAGGGTATACTGAATAGGGACCGAAATTTTGGCTTGCAACATGCCAAGTACGGACCCCTTAAAGAGCGTAACGCGCAGAGAGCGTGGTATTCACTTTAAACGGGGCATCGGATTTAACGTCCCCATTCTGACAGATGGTGGCTGCGTATTTGTACACCCCGCACAGTCAAACGGACGCCTCACTTTGACAAAGGTTTTACTACCGGTCGGAAGACCAAAGTGATCATATTTTTTCCCAATCGCTCTAAGGGACCGAAACTTTAAAAGGAAACAGAAACAAAAAAGATCTTCCATCACAAAAAAAATCTCAAAATAACAAAAACATAAATGGCACATTAGAAATCCACTGACGAGGTTTCCGACCTGGAACAAGCACATGAACATGGGGTAAGCTAGTTTACTCAACAATTCCCCTCTTTATATTATTAGACTTACAAAATGTACATAAATAGCATACAAGAAAAGTCAATACAGTGCATTAAATATAATTTTATTTTATTTTTTTATGGTTTACCTGTAGGGCGTCCGTTTGGTTTTGGGGGATGTATAAATATGGAGCCACGTCCTTTATACAGATAAGAATGGTCAAGTCTCTACAAAAACTACAAGATATATGCTTTATTTGCGATTTGTGTATTCGGTGCAATTTTGGGAACTGTGCCGTTATACCATCCCCACCCTCTTTCGTTTGTCATGTTTATTTCGCTTATGTGTATTTAACAATTTTTATATTGATAGACGTGTATCCATTTGTGTTAAATCCTGACTTGGCTGTCATTTTAAAATGATATAAAATTGTGTTAAAATATGTTTTGTTTATTTTGCCACAAATCACATTTATATGATTGTTGATTTATATGTTACTAAAGTTTTTAATTGAATTTTGGATATAGTTTACGAGTATTTCAATGATTATTAGCATCAACTAATATTAATGGGAAAATTCTAACATCATTATGTAACTTGTCAATTTTATGTTTTAAAAATTTTAAAAGGCGACACGTCAATTTTATATTTATTTACATGTTTTGAGAGGCAACTTGTTGATTTTATATTTTACATGTTTTGAGAGGCAACTTGTTGATTTTATATTTTACATGTTTTGAAAGGCAACTTGTTGATTTTATATTTTACATGTTTTGAAAGGCAACTTTTCGATTTTTTTTTACATGTTTCACAATCTGTATAGTTAACCTATCAACGAAACATGTTTTCGTAAGATCATTCATAAAGCTTCATTCATGTGTTTTACCTGTCCTGATTGTGTTGTACATCCTGCATGACACGGTGAGTGATATACAATGTTATCTTTCCCACAGACTAATGAAAGACCTTCATACTGGCACTGACAAGATCCTTGACAAACGTCTGTATAACCAGCTAATGTACTAAAATAAAAACACTTGAATTTTTAATATTATAATTCGTGCACACTGATCAACCCTAGGGTTGACTTAGGTATAGAAAAATGGTTTTCCCCAGCAGCAAAATCCTATTTTCTGATGTGTAGCGTCCGTTCGGCTGTGCAGAATGTATAAATACGTAGCTGGGTCCAGTAGGATTTAATCCAATGAGTCGTGTAGGATGATTGTCACGCTCTCTGTACGTTAAAGGACGATTGCAATTACTTTCTGAGGGGTCGGTAGGTTATGTGTTCCATGGCAAAAGGTTTGCCCACTATCCAACATATCATAATTTTTCGGATTTCCAATCTTCATCGCTGTCGACTTGCCTTGCACAACCTACCTTTTGTATTAATTGTTAACTTGTACTTGTCCTGGACATAAAATAACCAACAATCAATCAATCTTGCACACTAAAACCATAATCGTAATGTTAAAATGCTCGCGTTTTTTTATCAAATTTAAAATTAAGAATTGCATCATACTCCAACACATGGCTGAGCGGGTAATTTTTTGTTTACCCTCTCGTATTTATAAATATAAAGTCGAACATAAAGCACATATAACAGAACATTCAGTATGATTAATTAAAGAACACACAGATGAGAGGGTGAGGGAGCAGTTTGTTACTTCTCGAAAACTAATACTGTTATAGGAGGCGTTTTCTTTTCCCTCTAGATCACAATATGACCTATCGTTCTCTTATTTATGTTATCCCTCCAAAAATATTGCCAACATCGGCTTCGGTTCGGTCAACAATTCTTCCTCATGTAATAATCTTATCACCTTCTCAGCTTTGTATTTTTTGTACACTGCATTTCGGTTGACGCCTCATTATGCATAATCCAGAACTCTAAATAAAAAGTAAAAGAACAAAAAGGACTCCCAAGGAAAATACAAAACGGAAAGTCCCTTAACAATTGGTAAAATCAGAGCTCAAACACATCAAACGAATGGAAAACAACTGTCATATTCCTGACATGGTACAGGCATTTTCTTATGCAGAAAATGGTGAATTAAACCTGGTTTTAAACCTAGCTAAACCTCTCACTTGTATGACAGTCGCATAAAATTCCATTTTAGTCAACAACAATATGTGAACAGAACAAACAGACATAATAGATAAAAATGTCAAAAAAATTTACGAGACCGAAGATCATTGATTGATTGTTGCTTGCTTATCATCCAGTGGCAGTTGTTTCGTTTAGATTAATGACAAGAAGATTCAAAATGAATACAATAGGTAGGTTCTGCAAGGCTGTATGAAGGGCGAAAGTTTGAACTGTCACTGGTAATCAGTAGTAAGTTAGATAGGGGAAATTTAACATTGCAATAGGACACCTATGGACCTCATATAAATAGTGTAATTGTTCTATAACGAGCAGAAAGCGTGACACTATAAACGAGGCATCAAATTTAAATTCCCAAATCAACCGGACGTGGCAACATATTTATACATCCCGCACAGTCTAACGGAATTCCCTCTTTAGCAAGGGTTTGACTATCGATCGAAAAGAAATCAAGGCCACTATATCTATACCCTAGTCGCATTATGGTTCAATAAGATTATATTTTCCTATAATCTTAATGCCGATTGAGTACCGTATTACGGTTTTTTTTATATACATTATACATTATTTCAGTAGTGCGTTGAAAAAGTCCAAAAGAAGTTAAAGTTGTGTGTTTTTTATTGTGTTTTTGATACTTACTTTATTTTATTTGGATATGGAACCTCTAAACCAGCAAGCTTTACTTCGGGACAACCTGCGATAAAAGCTATTCCAAGAACACCAGACAAAAATGACGATATGAAACACATGTTCAGCATTCCCTTGATACCGAGTCCACACATTCTGATTAATAAACCACCACCAAACATTCCAACCGATCCGACTAATATTAATCCCCCTGAAAAAATGGTTATAGGAAATAATTACTATTTATTTAATAGATGTTAAACGTCCAGTAGACATCTTTCAACTATAACAAGAGCAATAACATGTTCACTTGATATTCATACAATGTATGAACCTTTCTTTGTACTAGGTAAACTGTATAAGTTCACAAGGTAACAATCATTGAACGGCATGTATCTCTTTCAATCTGTCGGTTTTTTCTCTGGGTTATTCTTACCGTGTGATTGTCTTTGCCCGAAAAGCAGATAATATTGAGGGTTTTTTTTTTACATTATGTCGGGTTTTTTTTTAGGAAAAGTGCATTAAGGATGTACGTTATTTGGTAGTTAAAACGTATTTTCATAAATGGTGATAACTTGACATTGTACTAATTAACTGTAAGGCAAAAAAGTTCATGTAAAAGGACAGTCTTTTATTTCAAAAAGAACTTAAAAGCTTCAATATTGAACTATTCAAATTCAATTTAACTCTTCTTATCGAACAGGTCTTGTAGTTATACATCCCACACATTCAAATGGACCCCAAACAGCAAAAGTTGATATAAGAGCTTATAAAAGACGAGGACTTTGCATATAACATATTTTGTGGATAATTTTAAAGTCTCTAATAGACTCTGTTTTAACCGAATGTGATTGTATACCCCTTTTCCATTAGCCAATAGAATGCCCAAATAACTTGCTGATTTAGCCACGAAGCGGAATGGTATTTTTTTCCAAAAAATAACAGGCTATAATTTATTGATTAATTGTTTGCTAAACTACACGTGTCAAAAGAGAGGCGATAGATACCAAAGGGATAATCAAACTCATAAGTCGAAAACCAACAGACAATACCATAACAAGATACAAAAAAAACGATCAAAACACAACCCAAAAAACTAAAGACTGGGTAACACGAACCAACCAAAATTTGAAATGCGTATATAGACTACTTAATCAGAACGAAAAAAAAATGAACAATTCGTCCGGTACGGAAACCGGTTGATTTTTACATCCACTGAAAAAATAGTGTGCAATAAAAAGATTACGTAATGTGGACCCATCAAGGATTTGTTTCAATGATTCTGTTACAATGTACGTGCAGAGAGAAAGGGGCAATACCCATTGATTTTAATGTACCCATTTCGATCGGACGTGGCTGCGTATTTATTCATCAGGTGTTTGAGCATTTGTTTTTAATGCAAGTTAGGTGCCGTGAGAATGCTACGCTTTCTGTAATTTATCATCCACGAAACAACTCAAAGTGTCCATGGATGACCTGTAGTAAGTAAGCTCGTTTAATCGTTTCCAAAATTGTACTTCTCGAAAATTGAAAAAATTGTAAAAAGCGCATTAACTTTTGCCGCTGAAAGGTAATACTTCCCCACCACCCCTAAAATTGAAAAAATTGTAAAACAGAGCATTAACTTTTGTCGCTGAAAGGTAATACTTCCCCACCACCACTAAATTGTAAAATAAAAAGGCATTAACTGTTGCCGTTGGAAGGTAATACTTCCCCACCACCCCTAAAATTGAAAAAAATTGTAAAGAAGAGCATTAACTTTTGCCGCTGAAAGGTAATACTTCCCCACCACCCCTAAAATTGAAAAAAAAATGTAAAAAAGAGCATTAACTTTTGTCGCTGAAAGGTATAACTTCCCCACCACCCCTAATATCTGACAAAAACGCATGAACAAATATAATAAAAAGGTTTCCAGCATATATGAAAGTTTTAAATAATTGATTGAATAACTTCAATATTTTCTGAGAATAACTCCATTGTCAGTCATATTTGTTTTCTCCTCCTGTAGTGTAGAAGCTCCAGCCACTTTTCAGATACTACCGATCGACATTTTAGAAACTGATTTAAAATTATTTGATTGATAGATGCTTTTTTAACAACGCTTACTTTAAAGGGCCAAAAAAGTATATCATTTATAAAATAAAAGATCATTTTAACACTAAAAGAATCACTATAAAAAAGGTGTAACAAAAAAAACGAAGAAAACGGTGAGTTAAACTTGGTTTTATAGCTGGCTAAACCTCCAACTTGTATGACAGTTGTTTATAGTTCCGTTATATTGACAAATCATCACTTACCAATCAGAAAACCTGCAATGTCAAACTGAATGTTATACTGTTCCATTAAGAATTTGAAAGAAAATGCTCCAACGCCAGAAATGATTAGTGTGTTCGTACTTCCTGCAAATGTTAGCATCATAAAGGTGGGATTCTTTATCTGAAAATATGAATTATGGTAATGGTATACCGTAAATGATAAGCTACTCTAAAGATATATTAATTTAAAAGAAAAGTTTTATTATATACTGATTCAATGCATTTTCTTGTCTAAAATTGATTTTTAGTTAATTTCTTCACAAGGTTGAAATTCGGCACTTTATTACATATTCTGAAAGCGGGTACATGTAGGTGTATTTCCAAGCGTTAGTTCTCAGTCTCACTATCTAGTTATTGTTTGGTCTTTTTTACCAATTCGCTAGGCTACAATATGATAAAATCACTGTATATGAATTTCAAGATATTTTCAGTGTTTTTTATTACAGGTCAGCGATCAATTTCACAAAAAATCTTACACGAGAAAAAAATACTCTCATGTCATAAACATTTTAGAATAACGTACGAAGAATTTTTGTGGTAAGAATTTTTGTGAAAAGAGCCACATGCCAGTGAAACCCAAATACTTTTAAGTTGGTATTTCTCTACAAAACACGCACCAATGAGGACTTAGTGCAGACTGTTGGCTATGAGTAAGAGTAACGTGTCCAGCTTTGAGGACAAGTCTTACTGTGGTCTTTAAACTTGTGAGAATTCACTATAAAAATCCGTATCATCGTGTTTGTATAATACATAGCTTCGTTGTCACTATCAAAGTTTTCTCGTACAATTTTTTTTGGTCAGAGTTTTTGATGCATTATTTTTTATAATGACGACCGAACGTCAAAGAAATTTGACGGAATTGGATGGAATAGAATCTCATCCTATTTTTCTTGAATCTTGGATTGACATGGACGGGAATTATCCAATCACAGTGCAATTTTTCTTTGACCAAATTTTTGATATGATAAACTCTGATAGTGGCAACCGATGACTTGGAACAAGTTTTTGGTGAAAAAACTTTGATAATGACAACAGATGACTTGGAACAATTTTACCTGGTCAAAGAGGCCAAGTTAAGTTTGTTAGTGACAACCTATTCTGTTCCCTATTCTGACATCGGACTAGGACTTCTTTAAAACTGAGTTTTACTGCGCGTATTGCTGTGTGTTTGCTAGAGGTATAGGGGGAGGGTCGAGATCTCACAAAACATGTTTAACCCCGCCGAATTTATGCGCCTGTCCCAAGTCAGGAGCCTCTGGCATTTGTTAGTCTTGTATGTTTTTTTGAATTTTAGTTCATTTATATGTTTTGGAGTTAAGTATGACGTCCATTTTCACTGAACTAGTACACATTTTTGTTTAGGGCCCAGCTGAAGCCCACCTCCGGGTGCGGGATTTTTTCGCTGTGTTGAAGACCCATTGGTGGCTTTCGGCTGTTTTCTGCTCTTCGGTCCGGTTGTTGTCTCTTTGACACATTCCCCATTTCTATTCTCAATTTTATATATTAAAAAAACAACTGTCGCATCATCGGGGATCTTGTGTATCAGAATTCCAAATAGCGGTACGATCTTTGAATTATATTGCAATAAATGCAGTCACATACCAGATCTATAAATGAAACAAAGAACTGTTTAAAAATGTTTTCGGTTGATGGTTTCTCATGTTTTGATTCCGGTTCTGTGGATTTTTCTTTTCCTACAATGAATAAAATATAAAATTGGCATGGATTTATAGTTTATGGTATGGTATCACAACAGATTTCAAATTGATATTGATTTTTTTTATAAAACAAGCAAGCAAACATTTTTAATGTTAAATATTCAAATTACAATGTGGTATATATTTTTTCAGTTTTAATTTGTCCAAAAACTACCATAAATAAAATAGAATAATGATCACTTGTACTTTTATCAAGAAGTAGAACACAAGCTAAAGAATGGCGTCCGCTTAGCATTGTAGGATGTATAAATACACAGCCACGTCCGGTCGAAATTGGGACCCAACTCTCTTTTCAGAACCTATTAGATTTATTGTTAATTTGTTCTCATTCTGACTATGCATGAAATATTTGCAACTAGACTTTATGGGAAAATCATTCAATCACTCAATAAACTTCTTTAAGTAAGTTCTGCATTATTGATAAAAGAAGTATGTTAACAATCAATATATTTATTATAACTATACCGGTGCCAAGTTCAGGTTCATTTTTAAACGTCCAAATGTAGCTTCATTTGTACTAGTTCTTCTTCAAACTGCAGCTTTACGTTACACTATATGTTTATTAACTAACATTAAATTAATTTATTTCATGCAAATATATATTTACACTCATTTGTGTGCTCATCTTAAAAACAGTGTTTATATCAAATATCACAGTAAGTAAAAAATTTTGAAGTGGTATTTCACAGTAAAATCTTCCTTCCTAATTCAATCGTCTATTTAACGTTGCAGCGTATTAATTACGCATCCCTGGCTTACAAATGTTTTGGTTTGAGTGATCATAATAAAGGGAAATCCGAAAGGATTTCAAACGCACGTAATTTACCACTGCTTGTGGACTATTAGTCCTCATTGGTATCATAAGCTTTGAGGTAAATACAGAAAAGCGCTTCGGACGCATGAAATTCATAGTGATTATTTAATTTACCTGGTAGATATTTTGGATATCCGTAAATGGGAATGGCTATAACAATGAATCCAACTATGGCTATGATAAAGCCAAGCCACCATGCTCCGATCCATCTGCTATCTGTAGCATCAAATCCTAGACTAAAAAAAATATTTATTTGTGATTGATTGTTGTTTGTTTGACGTCCAGCTGCAAATATTTCATGCATATTCAGGGCGAAATTCTTAATACTCATTTACTCCAAGAATGAAATAAGTTTCAAATAAAAATATACGGTATGCCAGATGCAACTTTTTAAATATTCTTTAAAGAAAAAGAGAAGATACAAGGGGTTCGAATAACTCATCATAGATACCAGGATTGAAATTTTGTATTTGCGACAGACGCGCGTTTCGTCTACAAAAGACTCACCAGTGACGCTCGAATAAAAAAAAAGTTAAAAAGGCCAAATAAAGTACGAAGTTGAAGAGCATAGGATCCAAAAATTCCAAAAAGTTTGGCCAAATACAGCTAAGGTAATCTATTCCTGAGGTAGAAAAGCCGTACAATTTCAAAAATTCAAAGTTTTGTAAACAGTTAATTTCTAATTATGACTATATCAATGATAATTCATGCCAACACAGAAGTGCTGACTACTGGGCTAGTGATACCCTCGGGGAATCATTGTAAGTCATCACTTGTGTAACTTGTGTCCGTACATCCTAAGATGGCTGACAGGAAATAATGTAAATTAAATTTCTTTTAAGATCGGAAGTGTTTGTATTTTCGCATATCTCGAGTTTACAAAAAATTGTGATGATGTCCGAAACTATATGAAAAGTCATGTCCGTAACTGAGATTACGCTAATTGTTGAATGTCGAAGAGATTATGGGGTTTTTAACGAGTAAAACAATTGGAAATTGGAAATTCGACAATTTTTCTTATAAAAAGAGCGTGACACACTCCCTACACGAGACATCTGATTTGATTAACGTCCCCATTCTGACCGAACGTGTCTGCGTATTTATACACCCCGCACTTCAAAACGAAAAACTCTCATCAGCATAGATTTACCACCGTATTGAAGATACCGATGTGACAATATTTCCATACACTCGACAACACTTGGGTTGCTATGGGTATCAGTTTTCTGTACAATTTTGTCAGTCTCATTTAAAAATGCTATGGCGAAATCTACAACAGACTGCCATTAATAGCAGCAGATTGGTGTTTCTCTTTAAAACTGGGAGTGTCCCTCTTTTGTGTTTCAGGATGAGTGTATGCGGCTTTTGGAATTTTTTTCTTCTTAAATATTTCCAACATAAGCAGTTCAATAGCTTCATGTGATTTTACGGAATTGTCTTGTGACATTGAGAGCATATACTCATACCACATCTTATTATTTATATATGATACAGTTTTGATCACACGGTGATTTTTTACGACAATTTGCATAAAAGCTATTATTCACCCAGTCAATTTAAATATGTTATAAAAATAAACCTTCATGTGCTACTTTAAGAGATAAATGGGGTAGAAATTTTAGACATTTACAAAAAAATTCGGTTTCTTGGACTTTTCTATCCTTTGAAGACATACCTTTTTTGTTTCAAAAGAAAAACACAAGCTGGTTTTCGTAAAAGTATTTTAAGTATGCTTTAAATTTGTGTAACAATTCTTTGGAAATAATTTCATTAAATTTTCGTGATTTAAGAAAAAACGGCTTTTTTGATGCATATTTATCTTACTTGAAAAACAATCATCGGTGATTTATTCATAAAAATTGGTATAAATAATAAAGTCAAATGTCATTTTAAAAAAGTAGTGTCCATGTACTCATTCCAAGCTAATGATCAAACTCAGTTCAAAAATGCATCTCTGCTTAACGTCAAATAGTCCTCCGATCCAGGTGGGATGATATAATATATTACCTGTCTTGATCTACCCTATCAAAATCCACAAAATAGTTTTGACTAAATTCCCCACCGACGAAAAATCCTGCAGCAACACCAATGGCTGTCAGTGCATAGGTCAAGCCTAAAATGAGATAGAAAAAAGATCTAAAATCACAAAGTGGTATCTAATATAATGATTCAGAGAAGCAAATTTATCCTAAAGTTAGATAAAGCGCAAAAGTATGGTTGACTTAATGTCGTTCGACACTAAGACACGTTCCGACACGGTAAAAATCTCGAAGTTCCCGCTAAATAAACTCATAATAGATTAGATAGGATTAAAACTTTGAACGCCAGACGCGCCAAAGACTCTCAGTGACGCTCGAATAAAAAAAGTTAAAAAGGCCAAAAAAAGTAAGTTTATAAGCTGTTTTATTCTCCAAATTTGCATGGTATTTTGAAAGCATTTAACAGTTTCAAAGAAAATAGTCTAGGATTCTCCCTGGATGTAAAAATGTATTATAAAAAATACCGAACTTTAAGGTAAATTCAAAAAGGGGAAGTCCATAAAACATGGCAAATTCAACCGCTCGACTATAAAAAAGTAAAAGACAGTAGTTAGACTATATCAAAATATAAATGCTTGTACCAAGTCAGGAATATGACAGTTGTTTTCTATTCGTTTGATGTGTTTGAGCTTTGGGTTTAACCATTTGATAAAGGGCTTTTCCATTTTGAATTTTTCTTGGAGTTTGGTATTTTTGTTATTTTACTTTCAACCAACGGAACAAATGGAAAACAACTGTCATATAGCAAAATGTAAAAAATTATTCGGGAAGGTAATAGACGTATTTACACTTGTATGCAAATTTGTCCGCCATTACGTAAAATCACACAGGTTCCCGTAAACTTTGACATCATAATTCAAAACATTTGACGTCACAATTAAAAAGTGATTGTTGCCTGACGTCAAAAAGTGATTCGGAGTAGATCTAAGGTAATTCGGAGGCAAAATATAGCTAAATACCAAAAGTGTAAATACGTTTATTGTTTCATGAGTTAACGATCAGTATATATAATGCCTCGATGAAAAACAAATGGGACTATGTATTTTTCTCTCATGCTTTAAAGATAAGTTTAAAATTGGGGTAAAAGGAAACAATTTTGTTTTTTTTTGTTTAATGTTTAACTTACCAATATATACCGCAGCTAAGGAATGCTCTTCATTTTCGTCTATGTAAGCTGTTCCAAGGGTGAACATCGGAGTAAAACCAAATCCGTGTACGATCTGTGCTGCCATAAATACGACAAGATACTTTTCTCCTCCTACGTCACAATCTCCAGACGGAGGGTTGCTTATTGAACAGTTATAGGATGCCTGTGTTGTGGATTCTGTGGGAACGTTTAATTTAAAAACTTAGTGTACTATAATAGGAGATCAAAACATTTTTTTATTTAAATCTGAGTCATTTTTTTTTTACTAGTTATAAAAAGGAGCAATACCACCATTGATTTCCCCTATTAGTCTTTATTAAATTGGAATTTTTCAAACAAATATTTTTTTTTCAAATTAAGAAATACTTTGCAGGAGTAATTTTTATACTGTCCAGTAATACATTGAAAATTTCCCAAAACAATAAATTGTAAAAAACAGTTTTATCCTGAAGATGAAACGCTTGACATGCACTGAACGTAAAGACCAACAATTAAACATTCCAAAGATCGCATCAGTTCTGCATAACAACTGTTTCCATAATAAACGTATACGTACCTGGATAAACATATTTTTCTAAAAAGTGTGGAACCATAAATAAAAAGGATCCAACAGCCATAATGAGTGACCCGGAAGCTACCCATGAAGCTTTATTATATCGACCACCAATAAAACTGACAAACAACACTACAACTAATGCTCCAATATCTTGTGAACTTGGAATCAGCGCAGACTTTGTGGATGGTAGTTTGAACTGTCTTTCTATGGCTGGAATCGCTGCATTGGCGACACCGTTTACTGCAAAACCTTCTAGGAAACACATTACACATACAAATAATGTAAACAGTGACATTCTGTTTAAGCCTTGGAGACACCTGAAAATTTATTTAAGAGAATGAATGAGCTTCAACGCTAACAACATTTCTTGCGGATTAAACCGATACATAAGTTAGGATAGTTGAAGTTAATATAGAAGAGATCTGAATCCATCAAACTGAATTTTAAGCCTGAGCAAGTTTAACCTTTGGTTAAAAAAAGACATTAAGTTGTAAGCTTATAAATAAATTCTTCAAAATGCGTGAAAAGATTATGAAGTGCATTCCCCGGGTAATACTGGGTAGAAGATACCAGATATTTATGTTTACCGTTATATATAATTAGATATATATATATATAAGTGTCTGGTCGTCAACACGTATCTTGGATATACATTAAATTCCTTCCTTTTATAAAAGAAGGGGTTGTCTTTTATACTTTTATTATCTTAATGATATTTTTTATAAATATTATAGTAAGGAAATGCTTTTACGCGGGAAGCTTTTGGTAATCATTTCAGGTCAAAAGTAACAGGTATAAAGAGCAAGGTATTCTAGTGGAAGATAAATGAAAATAACTCGTCATAAAATTCGTGCGTGCGAAGCTGTTTTTTTGAATTTACCTTCATAAGAAACGTTCAAACCCAAATATTTGATAAGCAAGGATGTATAAATACCTAAATACGTGACGTTCTATATGACCAAGTCCTTTTTTGGCTAGTACTTGGAGTAGTGGTACAACCGCCACTTACTAACACGAACGAATAAAAGGAGATGTATGACGTACTTCAATGATTGACTGATGAATTGGTATTTAACGTCACTTTAAGCACTATTGTGCTATTTCTTAAGATTTTTATTGGTGGAGGAAGCCGGGGAAAACCGCCGAGCTTCGGTAGGAAAACTGACAATCCTAGTTAATTCAGATTGGAGTAAAGCGCACCTGCCACGTGCGGAATTCGACCTCACAACCTCAGTGTTGACAGACTAGTGATACAGTAGTTCGACTACTTAGACCACTCGGCCATCTGTATGAGACAGCTTCCCTACGACACTAAATACATATAAGGTCTATAGACATGTGTCTGTTATATGTTTAGGTCTAATTCAGGCCCGATCCTTTACAAAAAAGGTGAATCTTTCATCAACACAGAATTCCCTAAATGCCAAAAAAACATTAAAATGCAACAAAAGACAGCCACTGATGGTGTTCCTGACTTGGGTAGTAGTATATGTACTACTGAGACATCCAATGCTGCCATGTCATTTATGTGTGTCAAATCAGTAACATTAGCCTTTTTATTTCTTGTCAAAATAGCTTAAATGTCTATTAAGATAAAATCTTTTTAAAAAAAAAGGTAAACTTCGTGTACCATAAATTACATAATTTAATATAACGTTGTACATACTACACAAGGAGCTCATAAATATTTCTATCAGAATATTTCCTCGGCCGTAACAAAAGTGTATAAACCAAACCATGGTCGACTAAAGTAGAACATAAAAATTTTATGATGTCAATTAAGCAGTTATGTTTAGTGAAGTTTAAATAGTCTGGATATAAACCGAAATCACCCATATAATATAAAACTTACTTTTGGACTTGTTTTGCCTGAACTGATAACAATATTTGAAATCGTTGCCTCATAAGATTTGGATAATTATTTTTAAAATAATAAAATAAATATTTAAAAATCTGCGGTTGAAGTTACTGAAATTATATTCAAAGTAATTAATTCTATTAGATATTCAAAATAGTCAGAATTGCAACTTATAAAAAAATAAGGAGATGTGGTGTGATTGTCAATGAGACAACTATCCATCAATATCGATAGGATGAGGATGTAAACCACTATAGGTCACCTTACGGCTTTAACAATGAGCAAACCCCATATCGTATATATAGTAAGCTATATAAGCTTGACAAAATGTAAAACAAACGGCCTGATTCGCGGTCTTGGATATTAGATAACAGTCAAAATTGTAAATTTAACGGTTGTGTCAGATTCCCGATTATGATATTTAAACGGAGTGTGGATTCACATGGCGAGTGACGCTAGAAATAGCAGGAGACGCTTAACCTGTCCACGCACCCGGTCGTGGTTTTTTTTGGAGTTCATGCGATTCCCTCAGTTTTAGGTTTTTTTTAACCTTAATTTGTATCTTCTTAATGAATTATTGGATTTGAACATCGTTAAAACTACTGTTGCCTTTATTTTATGCTAAAACAATTAACAACGACAATCTTATGTAGAATATGGTGGATTAAACCTTGTTTTATAACTAGCTAAACCTATCACTTGTATGACAGTATACGAAACACAACATAGAAAAGATTGTGCAACACAAACCCAACCAAAAACCGGGATAATATCTGGCCTTGCGGTCATAAAACTTTCGAGCACGATTTTCGTACTCAGACTCAGAAATCAACCAATCAAAATCCTGGATTTGGTGTTTCGATACAAATTTTGTACTCCGAGTACTGAGTAAAGTTTTATGACCGGAAAGGTAAGCAGAACATGCTTCACATGTGGCACCACTGACTTTTATTGCAATTTCATAATTTGATGAATTGGAATTTAAAGGTCAAAATTTATCATTTAATTCATGTCAATGCTAAAACATTGGCTACTGGGCAGAGGATGGTACCCCTATGTTAAAGCCGACGAGAAAAGGCATTACTCGACTATCGAAAGCTATCGAAAGCTATACTGGACACAGTGCAGGCGGTGTTGCGACGATGTCACAGATGCAGGGGTTCGAAATCCGCTGAAGGAAGAAAAAACAAATTGCTAACAATAATTTGCAGATTTAACATTGTTGTTCTAATTTTGAAACGAAGTGCAATACATATGAGGAAAGACGACGAAAGGTCAACTGTGACTATAGATATGAGGTAGAACTTGCAGTGATCAATTAAGTATTTACAAGAACTTACCTTGGTTTGAACGAACAACATCCCCATTTTGATTCCACTGTTGAAGTGTCAGTTTTTGGAGGCAGCTAAAAACGAATCAAACTTTTACTACAATAATTTGACGAGGTGATGATATACGATAAAAAAATAAAAGTAGTTACTAACACAATCGGAAAATCTCCATCCGCTTTATTTACTTTTCACCAAGAAAATAGCCTGCGATGCTGCTAACAGTGTGTACTAACCACAGAAGCAATCGAGAGAAAATTTGGACAGCAGAAAATGAAAAAAATAAAATCATGAAAAGATCTGTGTTGCATACTCCTAAAAATAAATAGGATTTCTCATGATAGATGTTTGGCTGTATTTAAAAAAAAAAATTCTTCAAAATTTCAAAAGAAAAAGTGATGATCTGGGACTGCTTTTTTGTCCACAAATATTTCGGGAGGGGTCAATTTGAGATATCTGATAAATGGACGAACTAAAGAACATGCCGAACACTACATATATTGATATATTTCCAGTTATCTCTGTTTAATGTGTAATACACAAATTAAATGACTTACTTTATCCTTTGTAACTATAACGTTAACATCATCAGCGGACGCTGTGTATGCTGCATTGTCGTGAGCTTTTACACCGTTATTGTTCTGTCAAATATAATATAAAAAAAAAATCAGAATTCAATAAAGTGTTTTTTAGAAGCAGAATTCCGTTTGATCGCATTTGCTGCATATGATTGGTTTTTTAAATATATCATAGGTATTATGGCTACTGGATTATTAGTATCGTACGTTATTTACTACTACTAGGTCAGTTCCACTGCTGTTGACTTTTAATTAAGAGGATACTGCCCACAAAATGGTTAGGCTTCGGTATTTGCATTTCAGTGATATATTTGGGCAGGGAGGACATTTTCCTTTGGCTGTGTCGGATGTATAAATACGCAGACTCGTTCAATCCGATGCATCGAGTAGAAAGAGTGAAACCCTCGCTGCATGTAAAAAAATCCTTGTAACAACTCTGTATAGGTGGTCTTTTGAAAGTTATACTTCAGCCTCTATCCAACATACTCTCTATTTCTAGTTCGGTCCAATGACAGACCGTCATCCCGGCCAATCCACTTTGCAGATACTCCATCAAGCATTAAGTTTTTCTCGTCCTGAATATGCATGAAATATTTGTAAGCAATCAACAATCAATCAATCATTTAAAAACTTCAGAAATATGTTTTGTGACATATGCTTTTCAGCATAAAAAAATAGATCGGTATAAAAATGCACAATTTTACTTCAAAGTGAATACCTCAAGTCACTAATATGTATATAAAGCTTGATACGATAGAAAGAAACAGGAATTACCTCAAATATAAGACAGTACAACAACAACAAAAAGACATTATACAGGCACAAAATGTGGTGGGGTTAAACAATCACCTTTCCTTTTTCATAAGCCCATCCTTTCCTACTTACTACCGATCTAGGTAATATATATATAATAAACATGCGCAGTGTAGCTACAAAAAAAGATAAATACTAACTCGAACAACCATAATTTGAAAACCCGTCAAAATGTGATGGCGACTACAGTGGGCTAGCAACAGCTGTTTGTTTGAATGCGGCCACTTAAGCTAACAAAAAAAAATTTGAAACGCACTTTTAACTGGTTTCCTGAAGTCTCATCATAAAATTGAAATATGAGAGGCCAGTATACATATTTAAATCGTCAGACTATCGGGAAAAGACAACAATTTTAACTAAATTAGTTAGTATATCACGCCTGTGGTGTGAGAACGTATGGTACTAGTATATCACGGCTGTAGTGTGAGAACGTATACTATAGCACGCATGCAGTGTGAGAATATATTGTATATAAGACATTTAGCAAAAGAACATTTATGAACATTTAGCATATAAATGATTAAAAAATTACTGTATGGAAACTAAATAAAAAAGAAGTAGAAAATGCAACAATCAAAGCTAAGGCACAATATAACAAATGCCTCTACCATGTCTTGTATAGGACGAAACAAATGCGTTGGATTAAACGATGGTCTTGTATACGCGGGTTGGCTTGTATATATGCTTAAATTGTTGATAGAGGACAATAACGATTGTTTTATAATATTTGCATATATGCATATTAATTTTACGTACATGTATCAAAATACTTCGTAAATATATTTTCACATGGATAAAAGGGAACCTTGAGCATGAGACAACCACAAACAAAAAAAAACCCTAAAACATCTAGAGGAGAATAAAGGTTTTCAACAATAGAAAAGTGTCTATACAATAGGTGTCAGACTCTACGCACAGAGATACAAAAAAAAAGCCTGCCATCAGCATTAATTCCATAACTAACAAAAAGGTTCATGCGAGAGGGTTAGTGGATAGCAGTAAAATACAGTACTGCTCGTTCAATGTTTTAATTCATTTTTGGTTTGATGTGCTGCCATGGTTAAGGGTTTTATGAAAAGTTAGCAGATTTATAATTCAACAGTTTGTCATTTTAAATAGATATGGTGAAAGTAATAGGGCGTTGTGTATTTTCTTAAACATGTTATTCTCTATAAAATTCGATAGTGTTGAATTTCGTCAATGTTTTGAATGTGTCTAAAGTAACTAAATCCTTGCAAAAGTTCAACTGGTTTATATTTATATTCTGTAAAGTAAATAACGGGCACAGAGGCGGGTTTAGGGGGGTAGGGGCCCGGGCCCCCCGTTTTGTGGGAAAAATTTGGTTGATTATTTAGGGAATGACTGGAGCGGGCCCCCTCTTTGGCAGTCAGTGGGCCCCCCTTATGAAAATTTCTGGATCCTTCACTGGGGCGCTCCAATACTGCAAGTACTGTATAGATTAATTAATTCTTTACATCACTGGAGCCTGAAAATAGTGCTGCTCCTTCAAGCTTGACCTTTTGTAATAATGATTAAAGATAATTAAATATAAATTGCATATAAAATTTTGTTTTTTTAAATCTAACATATAACTAAAATATTGTTCAACCATTATTTATTTGTTGTTGCTTCAGTTAGCAAACATCCTGAGGTAATTGGATCAATAAAAGGTTAAGTTCAAAAAGTTCGTGTTGTTCAGACAGTTTTTAGTTTTGTGAGCTGTTTGTCTGTTCATCTTTTTTAGCTCACCTTGCCAAAAGGTATTTTTTAGCCTAGATTTTTTTACACTTTACCTTTGGTGAGTTTGGCTTTTCTTTTTATGCCTCTTTCAGTCATATAACTCCTTACGTTATTATTTTAAACATCCTTTGCTTTCAACTCTTCAGATTTGAGCGTTCATGATGAAGGTCATTAAGAACAGCGGTTCGGTCGCGCGAAATTTTAAAAAGTGGGGTTTTTTTTTTCAATAACCCCGAAAAATGTCCCATTCAGGATCTTCATTAGTAGTTTGAATACGTTGGTCCTTTGGAAAATTTGTTGTGTTTAAGGCAGTCGTACGAAAATTTTATACAATTCAGCTATGTACTGTTGAAGGTGAGATGTAGGTATGCTTTAGCACGAATTATTCAAATAGCTTTTAAATTTATAAGCCAACCACTATATTAAGCTATATTCTTACTACTAGTAATTGTCACAAATCTACATTAATATAATCAATTAACATGATTAGACTTTCGTGACTGAAATTTCAAGCCCTTTGAAAGTAAATATGCTGAAAGGGGACTTTCGATTGACTGCTTTAAAATGGTTTTAAATTTAAAAAACAGCCATGTCCAATGTGATTCGGCTGTTATCTATGGCATGTGTTGGAAAATTCAAAGCTCTTCGCAAATAAAAGAACCCAAACAACAAAAGATACAATCTTTCACAGAAAAACAACCAGTGTGGTGTTTTAATACTCAGTCACGTCCTGACTGATTAGGAACTGTAGTTCAAAGCCACGTATCCTCGAGGATTGACTGAGTATAGAAATATTGTCACCCCTGGACTTCTCACTACCGACAGTAAAACCCTGGCTAAAGTTGGAAGTTTTTTTTATTGTGTTGTGTGTATAAAACCACGTCCGGCTAGAATTGGGACGTTAAATCCGATAACCCGGTAAGGGTGAATGTTACGCTCTCTGTTCTTTGAAAAACACTTGTAACAACTCTCTGATGGATCTGTAGTCGGCCTGTTGCAGGGCAAATATTCTGTCTTTACTAAACATTCCCTTTTTAGAAGTAGCAGGTCACATTTTCCCGCCCTTCGTCTATATAGACTTATCTTGCCAACCCTACCTATAGTATTAAATGTTCATCTGTTCTCATCCTAAATATGCAAGAAACATTTGCCATTGAACGCTAAGTAAGCATCAAACAATCAATTCAAGTCACGTGTTCAGAGAATGCCCCGGCTCTCTATATTATATGCTCCTTCAAAAAATATCAAAGATTTGATCTTTTAAACAAAAGATGCTGGTTTTTTTTATTTTGTAAATAATATGAGTATTGAAAGTAATTTTTGTAGGATTTGACAGAAGAATTAACCCTTTCCTTGTATTTCCCTTACGAAGTCAAAATTTGAAAATTGATTAAACTAGTGTTTTTTGAAAAAAATAGAGTCAAGATAAAAGAGAGGCGAAAGATACCAAAAGGATATTCAAACTCATAAGTCGAAAACAAACTGAAAATGCCACGGCTAATATTTTTATGAAATTATCACTCATGTATATATATCCTTAACATTTAAATGATGTTCAGTTATTGCCTTTGCTTTGAAAACAGATGTCATAAAATATTGCAAATTGGCCCTTTTTCTATTGAATTCTTACTATTGATATTATATTTTTTTGTTCAGTTTTCAAGTTTCCTAAAAGAAATGCATCTTAATGCATTTTCCTTAAAGGCTTTGAATAAACAGTAGAAAATATAATCACAAATGTTGTTTTGTTATATTTCTGTACATTGTACAGATATGATCAAAACTATATTATCCGCTTCACAATTGACCATAGTTTGTTTTGTAAATTTACTAATTCAAATCCTTAGGCTGTTTTTTAATAGACATTCGTTTTCAATACAAGCATACAAATAAGTTCATGTTTTTTTAACACCTGAAGCATTCAAAAGAAATAAGTGGTCATTATTATTTGGAAGCTTTGTCTTGACATCATTAAACGCCGGTTCAGGCAAAAGGTTTTTCTCACCTTGGTGTGAATGTGCGACATTTATTATAAAGATTGTGAATTTTTACGGCTTTTAAGTACCCCGTGATGGGTTTGTGTCCAATAAAACGAACGAATGGTTTTAATTCATTAACTTTAAAGTAATTGCATAGACATACTTGATTTCACTGTTTTACTACACAGGCACTTGTCTCTGATTTTGTTTTATATTAAAGTATAAAGGTAAAAAAAAAATTCAGAAACACGTACATTAGGTTGTTAAACGACCTTGACTTGTTATGAGAGTCTTGCAAGGTCGGTTTCTGTTTTATTTCGAAAGACTTCGAGATCTACATAAAGACGATGTCCGTTGGTTTATTACATAACAACTATGTCCTATCAAAATAACAGCGTCCATTTGCTATTAAGGATGTATAAATATTCAGCCAAGTTTGTTTATATATAGGCAGGCGTAAAATGAAAGGTGCGTATAAGAAGAGTGCCTTTTTCAACTAATTTTTATAGTTTGTTCTTATGTTGTACTGTTACACCACTGTCCCAGGTTACAAGGAGGGTTGAGCGCTCACAAACGTGTTTAACCCCGCCACATTCTTTATGTGTCTGTGCCAAGTCAGGAGCCTGTAGTTCAGTGATTGTCGTTGGTTCATGTCTGTGATATTTGTTTTTCGTAAATTGTTTTGTTATGAATTAGGCCGTTAGTTTTCTCAATTGAATTGATTCATATTTTTTCATGTCGGGGCCTTTTATAGCCGACCATACGGTATGGGTTTTTCTCATTGTTGAAAGCCGTACGGTTGCCTATAATTGCTAACATCCACTTTATTTGAACTTTGGTGGATAGTATAGCCCTATAGTGATTAGTCTGTTCGTCCGTCCATCCGTAAAAAAATGTGTCCGCTCTATATCTAGAGAACCGTTATGATTTCATACTTTATACTTGACATGTATATTAACTAACACCATAGGGTGTGTCATAATGTTTGTACAACTTCCTAGGTCAAAGTTCAAGGTCAAAAACTTTGCTTTCAGTTGACAACCCCATGTCCTATGGTAAAGATCGTGTCCGCTGTATATCTTGAGAACCGTTATGGTTTCAAAGTTCATACTTGACATGTATATTAACCAACACCAGAGGGTGTGTCATAATGCATGTACAACTTCCGAGGTCAAAGGTCAAGGTCAAAAACTTTGGTTTCAGTTGACAACCCAATGTCCTATGGTACAGATCATGTCCGCTCTATATCTTGAGAACCGTTATGATTTCAAAGTTTATACTTGACATTTATATTAACCAACACTAGAGGGTGTGTCAAAATGTATGTACAACTTCCTAGGCCAAATATAACACTTTAACTAAAAAACATAGAATAAATTACTCTCAGCACATAACGAGACTATGTCATAACTTAAAAAAGTGCTTCATATCAGCTTATCCATACAATTTTTTTACCACACGTTATTGCGTAGCCCACAGAGATGGCTCCTATCTCAATGATGTCTAGTTTTATCACTCTTCTAAACAATTCCTCAAACGACCATCTCTAGAGGAAATTAAAATTATAAATAAAAACATATTTGGTATAGGTCAATGAGACAGCATCCCATAATTTGCCTTCTAACTTTTTTTTATTTTGTCTCATCCTTTTTATCTTGTTAACTACTTTCCGTTTTCGCATTGTCTACGAAAGAGGTGGGACAATTTCCCCCTGAACTTGCGTCACACTGGGGCCATTCAGTTTAAAAAATCTTTTTAAAGATCTTCACTTTAATCTCAGTATGTCAGCTCCATGTGTGTACTTTGAGGATCTAAAATAGTATGGCTTATTTCTAAACAGATCATCATTTTTTTTAACGCCTGAAAATAGTTCACAATTGCAATTTTAACAGACTTTTGCAAATAAAATTTGTAAGAAGGAAACCAAACTTTTGTTGGAAGTAAAGCTACATACAGTCTGTCGGATACAATAGATTTTGGTAAGGGACGTCCTTCGATGTAAAATTTAGCAAAAAACATGTAAATATTGTAATTTTGTATCAAATTGCCTTTAACAGAAACATGTACCGCTACATAACATTTGGATTTTAGGGTCATATGTAAAATTGTTGAAATATAATTTATGTATATGATATAGACTATAATATTCAAGTTCCAGGAGAATTTGACAACTTTTGGATTAGCCCCTGTGAGTTAAATAAAAAACAACAGAAAATTGCCCCAACCTCTTAAATTTGTTTACCAATGCGTTGATCAATCATCAACTAAATAATTCATGCTCAGTGCGGGGGAGGTGGGGGGAAGGTACAGGCTTGAACCACAAGGAACATTCACTAGTGTCCAATCCTTATCTTTATTATTATACGGTGCATTAAATATTTTTATATTTTATTGTACATAATACAAACTTATTGAAATGTGAAATGTTTACCACACCGACAACATATAAAATAATGTTTGCATTAATAAACGCTAATACTTAAGGTATTACTAGTTACATAATTTTATTTGAAAGTACCTGTAAGTGTCAATTTACATATAAAATAATCATGTCTGCATGTATAAAACCGAGAAGAGGATAAAAATACAGTATTTCCCAGGTGTAAAAACCAAAAATATTTTCTTAATATATTAAAAGGGGTGAATTTCTGCTTTTGAAATACTTAATGTTTGTTTTGTTTTGTGTCATCGATATGTTACAACTAACAGTTCGTACATCAAAAGCAGATTTTTAAATGGAATAAATTGACCTGATGATGAGTTACATTTTGGGCTGTAATTCGGTTCGTATGGCCAAATGCAATAAAATTGTAAAATTGTCCCTCATAAGCTATACAGAAACAACATACACTGGGTACAACAGGGAGGACGACTTACCCCTTGTCTACCTGAATCTTACAAGTTAGATAATGTACCAGGAATCACATCTAACTAATCGTTTTCTTTTCCATCTCTTTTGATTATTTTGAATGAAAATGAAAGGCTACTTTCCGTTCTCATGTTATATATGATGGAAGAAGAACCAATTTCCCTTAAATTTGTGTCATACTTTGGTCATTCAATTCAAAAAGTTTTTTTAAAAATCTTCATTTTAATTTACAGTCATTCAGCTCCACGTGTGTACTTTCCGGATATAAAATAGTATGGCTTATTTCTGAACAGATCATCAAATCATATACATCTGAAAAAAGGCCACAATTACAATTTTAACAGATTATGGCAAACAAAATGCTCTGGGAAAAGGTACGAGCATGAACCACATAGTGTTCACTAATGTACACATCCTTATCTTTCTTATCATGCTGTGCATTAAATATCTTTATATTTAATTGTACATATATATATATATATACAAACTTATTGAAATGTTAACCACACCGACCTATCTATCAGCTTTGTCTATCATGTTTTGTCTATCAGCTCATAGACAGAATTTTGGCATGTGACTATGACGTCACCAACGTTTTTTTTTTCAAAATTTACTCATTTAGAATTAAATTATGAGGAATGACTGTAATATTTTTTTTCTGTCTATTCGAAACAACCTATAAAATGTGGTGCACATTACATAACCCGCTACGCTTCATAGACAGAAAAATATTACAGTCATTCCTTAAATATATATTACAAGTTACATAATTATATTTGTAATCCTATCTGCAGGTAAACTTAGAAGAGGATAAACATACGTCTTAGGTGTAAAAATCAAAAATAGTTTCTTAATATTTTAAAAGGGGTCAATTTCTGCTTTTGAAATAATTAATATTTGTTTAGTTTCGTGTCATCGATATGTTACAACTAACAGTTCGTACATCACAAGCAGATTTTTAAATGGAATAAATTGACCTGATGATGAGTAACATTTTTGACTGGAATTCGGTTCGTATGGCCAAATGCAATAAAATTGTAAAATTGTCCCTCATAAGCTTTACAGAAACAACATGCACTGGGTACAACAGGGAGGACGACTTACCCCTTGGGACTGACAGTCTACCTGAATCTTACAAGTTAGATAATGTACCAGGAATCACATCTAACTAATCGTTTTCTTTTCCATCTCTTTTTCTTTTTTTTGAATGAAAAAGTCGCTCCCTAATCAAATAAATAAATGTATAACTAACCTGCGACATCTTTATTCCAGGTGTGGGACATGAATTGTCATATTACGTTAAAGATAGAGGTTTTGTTGTACTGTTTACGGTTGACTGCCTCGTGTGTTATTAAAGTTTAAGGTTAAATAAGAAAAGTAAAAGAAATGTCTATTTTCTTGGTCGTACTTTGGTTAACGGTATTGTGTAAATATATTTATTTTCGTAAATCAACACACCTTTATTGGACTATAAGTAATTGGTATGAGCTGTACATTTATATATGTACTTGTATACCAATTGAAAGACTAAACAGACATGATTGTGTAATCTTCGATTCAAGTTAACGAAAAATATTGAATTCGTCTTAAACATGAAAAAATATTCCAGTAACAAAGTCTATCACTGACTTTCTTTTTTCCTTCTTTTGTTTTTTTGTTTTGTTTTTGTTTTTGTTTTTTTTTTTCTTTCTTTGTTTTAGGTTATAAGATATATTTAGAAGAGAGAGAAAGGGCGAATATATACACGAACTACTTTGGTCTAAAGTCTAAAGATGTGTGCTATGATACCGATCAAAGATATTAATATGCGCATAGGATGATCAGATATCGTATTGAAAGGACCTCGTTGACCAAGTGGTCAAAGTAGTTCATCTACTGTATTCACTAGCCTGTCAACACTGAGGTGGTAAGTTAAAAATTTGGAACCCCGCTTGTGGCAGGTTCGTTTGATTCCGATCTTAATTGACTGTGATTGCTGGTTTTCTAGCCCGACCGTCGGTAATTTTCTCCGGACACTTCAGTTTCTTCCAAACCCCCATAAAAAAAACTTAAAGCATAACCAAAGGTGTTTTAAAGTGACGTTAAATAATGACATTCGTCAAAGTCAATCTTTTTTTTTTCAAAATGCAGTAATATAAGTTCTTTGTTTTATACAGGTCACTTTACACTTTAATATTTTTTGTTTGTACAGTATTATAGATTGTATTTATTATATATGAATGTCTCACCATACTATAATTATGATGGTGAATTGGGTTAGATTAAAATAAATTTGAAACTTTATTATTTAAAATAAAGTCAAGTGTAATAAAACTTTCTTTACAGGAATATGTTTGAGTATTAATTCTCTCTTCTTTTCAAAATTTACATTAGACAAATGTTTGTCAAAAAATAAATGTCCATTAACAAGCTAGCAAGGTGTTGTAGTATTACGTGATCCTAAAAACAAAAACGTCTTTTGACACAATGCTTTTCTTTGTTGGTAAACAAATTACGAACTATTTATTTGTTTAAAGTATAAATTATATATAACAAAATCCAGAACAAAACAACTGGAAACAATCTTGAAATGAAACTTATGTAATGGTCCTTAGGCTTTACTTCTTAATTGATAAGTTATAAATGATTAATTCTGATTTTTCGTTTTATAATCTTTATTTACTGTAACATAATATGTGTTTTTTTTTGGGGGGGGGAGTACTTCCTATTATAGGGTATACGGGGATGTGGGTCATGAGATTTTATATAAAAATTACCCTCGTTTTTAATGACATCCTATATTAAAATGCATTTACGTTTTGATAACTATATTGATTTGGATTATGATCTACATATATATAAATATGCTATTGAGAATCTTACATTACTAATGGTCAATTATTATATTATATTAAATCAATTCATTTGAAAGTCCACCTAACAACTTAAGGGTAGCTGTATATTTATGAATTACGAGTGATGATATAGATTTAGTGCTTATATAAGCATGGGTCATATTTTAAATATTGTATATAAGTATAGGTCATTCTTTCTTAAATTTTTAAATAACTATAGGTACTGAATTTCAGTGAATGTTATATTAAAATGGGTACGTTTTTTGAGGCAAAAATGGCACACCCCTACCAAAAAAATATCGAATGATTGATTACCAGGTTTGCATAATGGTATATTAAAAACAGAACTTTTTGCGTAACGCCGTTTTGTGAAATGTTTAAGAAGGGTAAAATCTTATACATTAGACAAATTTGAAAATAACGAGATGTAATATGTCAAAATATAAGTTAATGCATATTCAGGAAGAGATCATGATAATGTGAAATGCATCTAAACTCTGCTTTGTACAAGACCAACACGCTGAAGAGGATTTTTAACGTGCTAGTTCAAAATGAAAGTCCACAGGAAGACATGTCACCCTACCCGGTAAAAAATTTCTGACTCCGAGCCGGACAGCTCTTTCTCCTAAATTCTCCGTGCTTAGCGAAAGAGCAACAGATACCACGTTTTAAGTCTTTGATTGATCCCGCCTGGGTTCGAACTCACGAGCCCCCGTACCGAGGCAAGCACTCTAGTATAAGATCACCGAGGCGGTCAAGAAAAATTAAAATGGAATCAATTTTGTAGACCACGTGTTACTATTTGTTTTGTTACTATCTTAATGACTTAAATATCATTAAAACAAAATTTTGAAGTTCGTTTTGGTGACACCCCCATGAAAAATTCTGGATCCGCCTCTGCTAGCACTGGGTCGATACCTCTGCTTGTGAACTGTAGCCCCAGTGGTATCACTAAGTGCTTCTTTACTGACATGCTTTATAACATACATTTCTAAATTTCCCGTTGCTTAATTAAGAAACCATGGTTCTAACTCCCTCAGTCAAAGTTTTCCTTTGATGGATTATTCTATTCTTTTTATGTCCCTTTTAGTCATATAACTCCTAACGTTTCTACGTATTTAAACATCCCTGGCTTCCAAATGTTTAGGGGAAGGTAAATTCAAAGTAATTCTCTAATATAATCTGCATGTTTAGAGAGATAGAGTGGCAATGACTAAACAATTTATACATGTTTTAAAGCAATAAAATGGATCAGCACCATTCATTAAGGTAACTTTTAAATGTCGAAGTATACTGGAAAAAAAAAGTTGAAAAGAAATATAATCTCAAATGCAAAAAAAACCTTAAACTATTTGTTAGAAAAATATGTAAAGAAAAGTAAAGGTTGGCGGGCAAAATGTTTTAATGGCACTACATGGATATAACCAGAGGATTCCGAATATCTGGCAAAAATTAAAAAACAAGAGGAGCGAACATCATTAAGTGAAGATTTTACTCTTAAGAGTTTTTTAAGAATCGTAAGTGTCACGTATCTCTATAGAATCCTGACGGTTTGCATTATCTTACAATTATTCAAATAGAAAACCATATTTAGTTCTATAATATGAGGGACAATGACTGGAAAAAAAAATCATAAAAACTCCATGAACCAAAACTATATGTGGGACGTAACAAATAAATACGTCGACACTTCCATGAAAAGGGCATTAGCTGCGATTTAGCCTAAAAATATAACATAATTCTTTCAAACATTGATATTTCGCTTTTAGCTGTCACTGTCAGACCTATAATACGACAGTCCTATAATCCGATACTCATATAGTCCGATAGTGCTATAATCCGATAATCATATAGTCCGACAGTCCTATAATCCGATAAATCATATAGTCCGACAGTCCTATAATCCGATAATCATATAGTCCCACAGTCCTATAATACAATAATCATATAGTCCGACAGTCCTATAATCCGATAATCATATAGTTCGACAGTCGTATAATCCCATATTTATATAGTCCGACAGTCCTATAATCCATTAATCATATAGTCCGACAGTCCTATAATCCGATAATCATATAGTCCGACAGAAATATAATCCGATAATCATACAGTCCGACAATCCTTTAATCTCACAATGCTATAGTCCGATAGTCCTGTAATCCGATAATCATATAGCCCGACAGTCATTTAATCCCACAATGCTATAGTCCGACAGTCCTTTAATCCGATAATCATACAGTCCGAGAGTCCTTTAATCTCACAATGCTGTAGTCCGACAGTCCTGTAATCCGATAATCATATAGTCCGACAGTCCTATAATTCCATAATTTTATAGTCCGACAGTCCTACAATCCATTAATCATATAGTCCGACAGTCCTATAATCCGATAATCATATAGTCAGACAGTCCTATAATCCCATAATCATATAGTCCGACAGTCCTATGATCCGATAATCATATAGTCCGACAGTCCTATAATCCCACAATGATATAGTCCGACAGTCCTGTAAACCGATAATCATACAGTCCGACAGTCCTTTAATCCCACAATGCTATAGTCCGACCAGTTAACTGTTGTACAACTAACACATACTAGTATACAAACAATTGTTTTCTTTATTTGTACTTGTAGAAATGAAGTCTTCAATCTTCAGTGAACATGACGAATGGTAATGTTACTAAAATTAATTTATAATTCCATATATAAATAAAAAGATGTGGTGTGAGTGCCAATGAGACAACTCTCCATCCAAGTCACAATGTATAAATAGTAAACAATTATAGGTCAAAGTACGGACCCCAAAATGACTAGTGTAAAACAATTCAAACAGGAAAACCAGCGGTCTAATCTATATAAAAAACAAGAAACAATTATGAACTACACCAACAAACGACAACTACTGAACAACAGGCTCTGGACTTAGGACAGTTCATTTTGGGACCTTTTTGTGGTCTACAATTAAGCCATGACAATGTATGTAATGAAAGGAGACTTTAAAATGAGGAATGAAATTCCATGATTAAACAATATATGTTAAATGCTGGAAAAATGTGAATTAAAATACTGATTTTTAAATGACGTATTCTATGTAAATGAAACATCTACAAAATATAAACAAAGCTTTAATCAAAAGTGTGTTCTGTTTTTACTTAATGTGAGATTGTAAAATATATATAACCTATCAAACTGATTCATCTGTTTGAAATTATTTGTTGTCATTTGCGAGATTAACTATTTATTTCTTTCAAATTGCTATACATGAGATGCATTCAATGTACAGATTTTAAAATTAACTGAAGTCAACGCTTTGAATTGTTGGACAATTATATACTCATGAAATTGATAACTAAAATACTGAAATTTTGCAGTGTATTTTATTGTAAACCTGACAAACAGTCAACTGACAGTGCATATATTATATTTTTTGAATTATGTCAGTTAGTCATTTATCATTAAATTTTCTATTCATTTGTTTTAAGAATATAG